GCATTTCTTTAATTAAGCAATCAAACTTGGATTTGCACTAGTCAAGAAGCTATCGAGCAACACATCAGAATTGTTCTACCATTTAAAGATGAAACTTGTTCCAACACCATATCTAAACAACTTAAACAGCTTAGCTGTAAGATTAATAATGAAATTATGCCCGTATTCACTAGCAGGAAGATAGGTGAAATCTTGAAATCGAAAGAAAGTAAACCTAAGATTGTTAATGAACAATGCGTTTTGTTTATTTATAAATTTCAATGTGGCTTGTGCGATGCAAGCTATGTCGCAACACTTGTCGACACCTTTATCAACGCATTGATGAGCACAGTAAAGGTAACATAGGACAACATTTAAAAGATCATGATATTAGTGCTACTGAAAGTGTTAATTATTTCAAGGTTTTATCTAAGTGCAAATCCAAGTTTGATTGCTTAATTAAAGAAATGCTTTGGATCAAAGAACTGAAACGTACACTTAACAAACAAACTGATTCAGTCAAAGCCAAACTGTTTATCTAGTTAATCTGCTAAGAAGGGCTAATTATTGCTTAGCTCCACTATGGCTCCACACAGTAGGCCCTATTGATATGTAAATTAATTACTTACTTCCTGTCACTGCTTGATATTTTTGTTTTTAGTTATTGTTATTGTTATTGTTATTGTTATTATTATTATTATTATTATTATTATTATTATTATTATTATTATTCTTCTTATTATTATTATTAATATTATTATTATTATTATTCTTATTCTTATTCTTATTATTATTATTATTAATATTATTATTATTATTATTATTATTATTATTATTATTATTATTATTATTATTATTATTATTATTATTATTATTATTATTATTCTTCATAATTGAAATCGCCATTACCACTACTAAAAAAAAAATATGGGAGGGCAGAAAGACGTCATATGACTTGAATTAATTAATAATTCCAGGGTTAATAATGGTTTACCGACAGCTACCATTCGCCGCGATTATAACAACAAGGAATTATACAATTTTATCTTTAAAAAAGTGTTCAGTGTTTCACTGTGTGAGAGGGATTTAATAAAATAATTTAGTTAAATTTGTTTATTTTTTATGGGGTTGTTTAGAGTAACAGCCCATAGGCGGCGCTATGCAAATCCTGCAACTTTGCAAGAATTGTGTTTTGTTTACCAACCTGTTTTTACAATGCCTCTTTCTCTTGAATTTGAAGTGCTGCTTAGGGTGGTATAGTACTCCATGTGCCTGATTTTATACTTTTACTTCGAAGGTAAGCCTAGTGTAAAATGTATGTATGGGTAAGTTAGGGTTAGCAGGGAGTTCCGACTTTTTTTGGTTAGGCCTAGGCTTAAGGTCCTAGACCTGGCCCTAACGCCACTCACGGTCGAACGCTTTCGGTTTGCGGGAACAAATTCGCCTTGGCATAGTCCTAGCCTAGTGGAAAACCGGCTTTATTATTTAGCAAATACGTGGAGGGGTGAGTGGTGGCAAGCATTAACTAAGGACCTAGCCTAGCTCCACCAAATCAGATAATCAAGCCTGCATCTTTACACAACCAGTTCATAAACATCTGATGTTATTTCTTTTAAAATTTAACTTAGGCCTAGGCCTATTATATATATGTTTAATATTCATAAATCATAAATGTATGAAATTTAAAGTACAGTGTACCCTCCTCCAATTCGAGACCCCTCTAATTCCGAGACCCCTCTAATTCGAGACCACTTTTCCAAAGACCTAAATAACAATCTTCAACCTTTTAACACAACGCTGTGGCTAGAGATACGGTACCGTATTTCTACTTCGTTTTGCTAAAGTAACGGTACGGTAAATGGCATTACGTCACCATCACCCAGTGAAGTGCCAGAATGTGCATGATGTCATTTTTTGGAGACTTGCATGGCATTGCATATCACCCACAACGAGCGGTGGAAGGAGAACGATGTACTGGGAAATTAGAACATCAAAAGTATGATATTGTTTGACTTTACTGTCATCGTTAAATAGGCGTATGGTTCCACTTTATAGTAAAGAGTTTTATTTAGCTAGGCCTGTATATAACCATTATCAAACAAGGACTGATTTCTGTACCAAATTCTTGGCATATGCCTCTAGTAGGAAATCTGCCTCTAGGCCTTGCTTTTAAATTCTTCGCTGGTGAAGAATCTAAGCAAGCATGCCTTGCCTTGCTTGGATTCTTCTTTTGGCGGCGGCCCTGCTCTAGTGACATAGATCTGGGTGGCATATATCAGTCATAAACACGGTCTTACCAAGTCGGAAGTTCTCAATCCCCACATCCCAAGTTTAGTCTAAGATGCCTAGATTATCTTATCCAACCAAAATATTCATACACTTTGAATGCACAAAACTTTACATAGACTTCGTCACTCTCATGGTACAGAATCTAGGCCTAGATCGAGAATGAGTTTCCCCTTCGTGATTAGGGCCTATTAATTAGTGTCAAATTTTTCGAATCTACTTTTGATGCAGGGCCATTTAATGCAGTAACAGTATATAAAATGCTAGGCCTGTATAAATCCTCTTGTTTACAGTATATTCAATTTTTTTATTGCAAGTGTTGTCATATAAATAGATTACCAAAGACTAGCAGTAGTG